TATCTATCTATCTATCTATCTATCTATCTATCTCTCTCTCTATCTATCTCTCTATCTATCTATCTATCTATCTATCTATCTATCTATTCACACGTTCATATTTCGTTCCGTTTTTTCATCGGACAACCCGTAAATATAAGATTTACATGTTAACAACTATTGGCTGTTTGTTTATCTATGTAGATCTATCCATCTGTCTCTTCGTCATCTGTGAGCCATTTTTGGTATGGCTTGCTAAACTTTTTAAAATGAAACCTTGAGTAGACCCAGTTGTTTAATAAGCAGGCTCTTGATTGACAGCTGTGAAATACGTTGTGTCGATGGGGTCTTAGGAACCATCATCATCATCATTGCCTTTCTCACCCTGCACCAGGGTATAGGCCACGGACAAACACCGTCCACTTTTCTCTATCCTGGGCTAGCCTCTTGATGTTATTCCATATCCTCCCACTTTCCTGTACATTGATGTATGTGTTTCTTCTCCAGGTTCCACGAGGTCTTCCCCTTGACCTCTTGCCCTGTGGGTTCCAATTCAAAACTTTCTTCGTTATGCAGCTGCCTGGCTTCCTGAGAGTATGTCCAATCCATCGCCACCGCCTTCTTCTTACCTCATCTCTGACTAGGATCTGTCCTGTTTTCCTTAACTTCCACATTGGTGACCCTGTCTGTCCATCTGATCCTCAGTAACTTTCTTAGACACCTGTTAGGAACCATCTATGAAACAATTGTAATCATATTTTTTCATATAGATTTTTTAAAACTAGGGAACAACGACGCAGTGAGAGTTTGGGATAATGATAAATCTACAATTTTGATTTAAGGTTCTTGGGGGGTCATTTTCGGAGGACGTTTTTGAGTAGTCTGCTTCTTCTACTTCCTTTTGATAATAATGATATCCCCATTTTTTTGGTCATCGTATTGAGTTGTCCGCGCGCAGTGACAAAATTTGGAAAATTTATAGATCTAAACCACGAGACTTTGAAATCAATCTTAAAACTTAAACTGGAAATTGCCTGTCAAAATCAACTAGGACAGAGGGGAGAAACGATAAGAAACAAAAAAAAAACCCCTGAATGTTCATATGTGTCACAACGCGGCGAAATCAGACACTCGTCAATTTTTGCTTAGGTTGAGTTATTGGTATCTACTAAAATCGTTCGTTTGTCTTGCTTGCAATGAAGAAAATGCTACCTATCCTTATAAAGAAGTCGGGATATTTGCCATTGAAGGGGGAACGGTTGCTTGGTTCTTGTAGAAAAATCAGCAAGAAAATGGCCGCCAAAATGAGCCGATTTCCATAGCTTGAGAATCCTTTGAAACTGAAAATTTACTTTTTTTTTCGTAAAATTCACTAAGAAACATGTTTTGAAATGAACAAAAAAGATTATGGGTCAAAGACATGGCTATGGTCAAAGAACAAACATTTGATATTTTAAAATTCCCTAACCTGCGAAAAGATGCCGTATTCTTATATTTCATTTTTTTATTTTGGTGCCAGCGCCTGATTTTGCCGTGATGCCTCTCATAATTATATTCGTTTAAGTATCGTCCTCGTGTGGGAACTGCATCTACGTCTTTTTTTTTTACGTACAGGTCTAAAATTTACACCACAGGTGCCGGCGTCCGCCTCTTCAGTTACCCATATTGTGTTAGAAAAGCCGTAAAAAGAGAACATTAAAGTGGACCTTGAGAGCTCTTAGCACGACTACAGCTGGGCACTTCAGGATCTACCGTTCACATGTGGCGCCGTCTCCACCGTGTTTGCCAGTACAAAAGCCACCAGCACAATTAATATACTCATTAATCCTGCTCTGTCCTTTCGTGAGAGAGCGCACGCGCGAAAGTCTGAACGCGAAAGTGGTCCAATGGCGTGACGACAGAGAAAGAGATAGACCTTCCCCCATCCTGTAGCCTGTGGAAGGGCCGGAGCTCCACCTTACTCACTCACCCCCCTTCTCTCCATCAAGCCATGATTTCTTTTGGCAGTTCCAGCTTCCCTTTGCTCAGCCGCGCCT